AAGCAGGGCAAAAAAATGTAGCTGCCCATATAACAGCAAGATGCCTTTCACCTGTATGAAAAGTATGGTCACTGGTGTATGCAGCATCATGGATTGTGAGAGGTATATCTGACTGCCCATTTAGGCCCGTAAACCAGCAGTCAGACATCCCCTGAGGGGTTCTGGATTGCGAGAGGGCACAGGCCGGGCCAAGGGACTCCTCTGCCCCTCCCACCCTGTGACAAATTTTTGTGCACCTGGCCTCTAGTTATATTAATAATATATGACTCTAGCAATATATATCCAGCATGGGACAAAAGTAGGTGTATAATTGTTTAATAAGGAGAGTAATATTATTAGTAGTAAGTAACCTACTCACAACTGTAAACCTTCTTTTACCCAATCCCGTATGTGAATTTATCTATCATTAACATAATAATAATGTGATTTATATAATCAGTAACAGAAATATCTTACTTACTAGGCAGTTGTGAGACAACTTCAAGGAGAACTGGCTGATACCCAAAGAAAACTGAGACAACTTCAAGGAGAACTGGCTGATACCCAAAGAAAATTGAGACAACTTCAAGGAGAACTGGCTGATACCCAAAGAAAACTATCTATGACAGAGGCTTTACTGAAGGCTGAATCACATCATCGTATGTGTTCACAACATAAAATACAAGAGCTGCAGAAGGAATTAGATGAAAGCAGAAGTCAAGTATATATGAAATTAACATGTCATCGTTATTCTATTGCTGGTTAAATAATATAAAGTGTTTTAGGATATGACTTTTCATGGGCAGCTTTCTTTTGTATTTTCATTGTGATTAATTTATTATAATTTCATTATCTTTATAGTGCACTTATTTCTTAAACCCTGGCTTTTATTCTGTCATTTGTATTTTATGTTTTTTCTTATAATATCTGCCCTTAGGAATTTTGACAATTATGCATCATTCTTCATAGAAGGCAAAAGGCTTTTCTTCCCCTATAAAACATATTTTCAGTGGTATCTCCATTATCATGATGAGGCAGTCAGATCAAATAAGAAGTTAGTGTTGAATGAAATGTTCCAGAAAATTGTTTTATGTCTTATCTTCACTTTGGTGAACCCATATTCCATAGATTTCAGAGTAAGTCGTACAGGAAGGCCGTTATAGTAACCAATTGAAGTAGGCATAGCCTTCATTCTCACTCACTTGGAAATGAAAGCATGGAAATATTCAGATCATTGTAGTATGTATGTCCACAACCGACAATTAAGGAAATTAAATCTAGATCTACTAATGATATTAAAAAAACTATATTGATACAATTCACATAGCATATAATTTGCCAATTTTAATTGTATGATTCAATATTCATAGAGTTGTGCATCTGTCACCTCAATCAATTACGGAATATTTTTATCACTCCAATCTCAAACTTTATACCTCTTAGCTGTTGCTATCAGCTTATCATCTTGCCCTGCACTGGGCAATAATCAGCCTAATTTCTGTCTCCATTGATTTGCTTTTTCTGGATATTATATATATGGAGAGTAATATATATATTTATATATATAA